GAGCGACAGCTTACTTTGCCAGGCTCTCTCAATTGCACTGCAGAGCTACTGTGCCAAGCTTCTCTTCCCTCCATTGGCTAAGGCTCCTCCCTCTTCTCATCCCCTAGGGAGGAAGAGAGGGGGAGGGAAGGAAAGAGCAAGAGCTTGCTTTGCCCAGTTCCCTCAATTGCACGGGAGAGATACAAAGCACCTTTACGACTAACAAAGTTTTATTCAAGGTATGAGTGTTTTGTTGGCTCATTATGCCAGGGCTCTCCTGCTGCAACTGGGTTCCCCTCTCCTTTTTCACTGTATTCATGCCCTCATGATCCAGCCTTTCTCAGCAGGAAAGCCATGTGAACTATTTAGATGAGGAATAACAACAAGCCAGTGAGGTGAATTAGGTTTAGTGTGTGTGTCCAGACGAAGTTCAGCCAGCACATTTCCTTCGTAGGCTGGGGATTTTGAACTTAGACTTCCCAGATAGTAGGCTGATACTGACCACTATACATTGCTGTCTCTCTGTTCTTGCAGTGCCTCATAGGAGTTGTAGTTATTTCTCTGGGGAAGACTATAGTTTTGTAGACAAACACATAGCCTTCAGTCTGTGTCATAGTGCCTTTCACATGTTCTTGACCAGCACACAAAGCAACTTATGTACAAAAGCTCTCAATGCCCAGCCATTGCATGTTTTCCCTTGGATCTTAGGCTCAGAGCATTGACCGTGAGATTTCTGTCAATAAATTAAAAGTAGGTTTTCCACTTGTAGATACACACCTGAACAATACCTATACATCATACTGCTACAGCACATTGTCTCCAGATTTTGATGCAATAATTCAGAACAAATGGTGTCAATTATCATTTATTTGTTTATTATTTATTTATTCATTTGATTTGTCCCCCGCCCTCCCTGCAAAGCAGGCTCAGGGCGGCTGAATCAGTCAAAGGCTGAATCAGAGACTGTTAAATAAACAAAATATTGCAAGAGTTATAATGTTTTAAGCATGTTTTATTTTTAGTTTTAAAAATATTTAATTGTGTTTGTCTGTGTCCTTTATAAAGTTTATATCTCTGCTACCTGGCATTACATTTTATGACACACATGGCCTGGCCCGACAAGGTCTCATTTATGTCAGCTCTGGCCCTCATAACAAATAAGTTCGACACCCCGGTCTAGCCTTTGACTGATTCAGAAAACTCTTTTCTTAGTAAATTTAACTGTCACTTCTTAATTTTAGAAGACCTACAAAAGCAAGGGGATTCCCCTTCTCCTGTCCTGTGATAATTAAACTGCTTCTGTGAGCCTGTGGTGGTGATGATAGAAGACAGTGCATGGGTAGAAAAGGGAGTGGAAAGGAGCCTATAGAGTGGAAGTGGAGTATTTAAGAGGGGTAATAGGAACAAGAACAAAATGAGAATAATACAGGGTTTGGTTAATGCTGTAGACCACGTATGCCTGATTGCATGCGCACAAAGGTTCTTGGGGTTAATTCAAATCAGTAGGTGATCAGATCCAAAGGTGCCCCGGTGTGAAAAGAAGCAGTTATTATTCATTTATAACCCTACCTTTATCCCTTTATCAACTCAAATTGGCTTACATTCTTCTTCTCTCTTCTATTTATCTTCAGAACAACCCTGTGAGGTTTAACTTGAGCAAGGAGGGCATGCGATTTGTTTTAATTCCCCACTTAGGCTGCAGCCTTGGTTGATGTATCCCACAGTGTACTGCCACAGTGGCACGACTCAGCGAGTCAACTGAGAAGGCATATAAATGCCTTCTCAATTCACTTGTGACTTGTGCCGCTGCCATGGCAGCAGCACAGCTTGCAAAAACCATTTAAAGGGATCCCTTTAAATGGCTTTTGTAAACGGCTTGGAGATGACATTTAAAGAGACCGCGGTCTCTTTAGATGCCTTCTCCAAGCCCCGGCGCCAGCTTGTCTACCAACACTAACCACATGAACCCACCTGATTGGTTTGTGGGAGGTTCATGGGGCTCATGAGGGTGGGACGCCACTAACCAGGACTAGTTTGTGACGAACTTTGGTTTGTAATTTGGTTTGTGCCCATCCCTAGTGTGGACTAATAGTGTGGACAGATCCAAAAGGAACTGTAGAGGATGGGCAAGTGGGTATCAGCATGGCAAATGGGGTTCAGTGTGGCCAAGTGCAAAGTGATGCACATTGGAACCAAAAATCCTAACTATAAATACACATTGATGGGGTTCGAACTGGCAGAGACTGATCAAGAGAGAGATCTTGGAGTCGTAGTAGATAACTCACTGAAAACTCACTAGACAATGTGCGACTGCAATAAAAAAGGCCAATGCTATGCTGGGGATTATTAGGAAGGGAATTGAAAACAAATCAGCCAGTATCATAATGCCCCTGTATAAATCAATGGTGCGACCTCATTTGGAGTGCTGTGTACAGTTCTGGTCACCACACCTCAGAAAGGATATTATAGCATTGGAAAAAGTGCAGAAAAGGGCAACTAGAATGATAAAAGGGTTGGAACACTTCCCCTATGAAGCAACGTTAAAGCGCTTGGGGCTGTTTAGCTTGGAGAAACGACGGCTGAGGGGTGACATGATTGAGGTTTATAAGATTATGCATGGGATAGAGCAGGTAGAGAAAGAAGCACTTTTCTCCCTTTCTCACAGTACAAGAACTCGTGGGCACTCAATGAAATTGCTGAGCAGTCAGGCTAGAATGGATAAAAGGAAATACTTCTTCACCCAAAGAGTGATTAACACATGGAATTCACTGCCACAGAAGGTGGTGGCAGCTACAAGCATGGATGGCTTCAAGAGGGAATTAGATAAACATATGGAGCAGAGGTCCATCAGTGGCTATTAGCCACAAGGTATAGATAGGAACTCTCAGTCTGGGTTAAGTGATGCACTGTATTCTTGGTGCTTGGGGGGGGGGCAACAGTGGGAGAGCTTCTAGTGTCCTGTCCCCACTGCTGGACCGCCTGATGGCACCTGGTATTTTTGGCCAGTGTGACAGAGTATTGGACTGGATGGGCCATTGGCCTGATCCAAAATTGGCTTCTCTTATGTTCTTATTTTCTTATGTTAACACACGGTTTGGGAACTTTGCTGACAGAAGAGGGAAATTTTGCCTGTTTCCCTCTGCAGCCATCTGAACAACATGGTTATTAGTCCATTTGAGTGGGGAATCAAACCCGGTTCTCCCAGATTAGAGTCCGCACACTTAACCACTACACCAAACTGGCTCTGAAGTAAATTGTAAACTGAAGTAAGTTGTAAATACTCTGTTCCGTTTGATGATTTCAGTTTTTCTTTTTAGGTTATTGCAATTAAGAATGAACATTGAAGATAAGCTGGGAGGATTGTTTCTCAAATGTGGTAGCATAGAACAAATGCATTCATCCAGGGATATGGTTGGAATGGGTGCCTCATCCGACCAGTCAGCCATTTCTGGGGAACGGCAAGAAGCAGTGCTTCAAGACCGGGCAATGGCACACCAAGACATTCTTTCTGCAGATGAAGTGTTACAAGAAAGTGAGCTTCGACAACAAGAAATGATACCACATGACGAACTCATGGTGCATGAGGAGACAGTGAAAAATGATGAGGAGATGGAGGCACAAGACCGACTTCCTCAAGGGCTTCAGTATGCAGTTAATGTCCCTGTAAGCATTTTCTGTAATTTGCTGTACACCTGCAGTCGAGGACATCCTATCATTAACTTCTACCAAAGTATGAATCCTTAGAGTATGGCAGGAACAACAAATGAAGACTAAAGTAATATATTTTTTTACAGTGCAATCAAGAATGCTTTCATGGGAGTAAGCCCCATTTTGAAGAGCTAAGTAGGATTCTTAGTAGATTTGCTCAGGATTGCTCTTTTTACAGTGCAGTCCTAAGACAGAGAGGAGCTGCGGTGGCTCAAGTGGTTAAGACGCTGAACTACAGGCTGTGGAAGGTCGGTAGTTCAGCAGTTCGAGACCCGGGTGCTGCATGACGGAGTGAGCTCCCGTCTCTGGTTCCAGCTCCTGCCAACCTAGCAGTTTGACAGCAAGAAATCGCAAGTAGATAAATAGGTACCCCTTCGGTGGGAAGGTAACAGCGTCCCGTGCACCTTGGTGTTTAGTCATGCCGGCCACATGACCACAGAAACGTCTTCGGACAGCGCTGGCTCTTTGGCTTTGAAACGGAGATGAGCCCCGCAACCCTAGAGTCGGATTCGACTGGCTTTCGAGCAAGGGAACCTTTACCTTTTACCTATGACCACTAAAGTCAGTGGGCTTAGAAGGGCATTACTCTGCTTACTATCGCACTGTGTGTTACTTTGCAAAGCTTTTTTTTGGGGGGGGGGGCTTTAAAGTCCTTTAATCTGTTAAATTTCTGATATTGTCTTATGTGATTGAGAATCACATAATCAGAGATTGATCCATACTATAATGGAAAAATTAATGGCGCATAGTGACCTATTCCATCTTCTACAGTGATGATCAATGACAGATCGCATTTCAGAATCTCATTTTTTTTTAGTGACCATCAACAAGGAGAGGTGGGAGAGGATGAGTGCTGTGTTACAAGAAAATGAACGTCAACATTTAATTATTTTTCCTAATAATAATGATCATGTCTAATGTTGCAGAATAAGGCTAAGAAACATTTTCTAATAGCAAATATATATACTTTGTAGACATTGCTTATTTGATTTTGAGTGTCTGCATTCATCCTCCACTTTGAGCAGTGATAACCACTATGAAAGGTTGTGGTTCTGTTTAGAAATACTGTAGGGATGAGGTTCCCGAACTTTTAAAACATTTTAAAGTGCATTTAAAAGTAGTAGAGTTCACAAAGGTAATTATAGACATGCAAGAAGATAATTATACACATGCTTCTTGGACTGTGAGTGAATTAAAATACTGTTTACATCAAAAAGGCTTTACTATAAAAATCTTTACAAACTATAGATAGGTAAATGCAGTGCTTTAAAACTAGTAACATTACAACCTAAATTCTCAGTGTAATTGAAGAAATTCAAGATTTGACAGTAGATATAATTTTTTTTGCCAAATTATTAATCATGTTCCAGTTGGGAAATGTAGAACAAAAGTAGATATCCTGGCACCAATTCTTTGCACTCCAAACATGTAGAAAGAGGAGGCTGAATGGTATGTCTTATTTTAACAAGTAGGCACATGGATGAGTAGTGTAAACCTTCCACCCCCTTCCACTGATATACCTCCCCATGGCTGTTTTTCCCAAGCATTTTGTCCCTAGAAATGTTCCAGTGTTCTCAACTACAGGTGGATGAAGGATTTGGTGGTGCTTACCCTTTTACCACTTTGCTGTAAAATCAGACCCTTTCTTGAATTTCTTCAATCACTATTTCTATGTGATTAGGGCAGTTCCACGCTTCCGTCCCATTTTCTTTGGTCTTTAAATCTATTTGAAATTATTATGTTACACAGTGCTTCCTAAGCTGTCATTCTGTATGCTAGCTCACCTGTGATCTTAGGTGTCACCTATTCCTTGACTCAGTTACCACTGTAAAATGGGAATAGCATTGTTGACGTCAGAGGTATGAATGAGATGATTATTAAGTGCCTCGTGTGGTGAAAGTTCTATTTTAAATGTTTAATTACATAGTAACAAAAGAGCATCTTTGTTGAAAGGTATTAGAAAGACGAGTGCATCAAGGTAACACTCTAGAAACAGGAAATTTATAGCAGTAGTTTCCCCCACAAAAACAGCATTAAATAAGTCAATTATTTTAAAAGCTTCCCAAAATGTCTCTCATATGTAATTAATATGTTATCTGATGTTGGCACTTGGTATCTTAGCAGATAAGCGTAAAACAAGAAATTACCTTTACTGACGTAGCAGAACAGCAAAAAAGGGACAAAAAACTACTACGGGAGGGGCTAGATTTGCAAAAAAAGAAGAAAAGGAAACAGCGGTCACCAGCAAAGGTAAGACAGTGATAGGTGGAAATCAGCCTCAAGGGCAGCCTGGTAATCTACCAGGATTTTTTAGTATTTGGAAATAATAGTATTTGGAAACCATGTAACCATATAACTGCAATCCCAAAGTACTGCCACAGATATTTATAGTGTGTTTCTTTGAACTTTTTACAAGTTGACTATTCAGCATACTTTTAATATCAGCCTTCTTAGGCAGTTTCTTTTACAAATATTTTGTGCCATTTTATTGATGAAAACTGTGTTAAATGAATAATAACACAGCTTTTGTAGGCACTCTGATATTAGGATTAATCAGATAAGAAAGTGGTTCTGATAACTCTTGTTTTTGATCAGACTTGCATTAGTGCTGAACTTAATTATTGTGTACATTTGAAATTAAGTGATTGCCTTACATCCATGGGCATTTCATTTGAAAAGAATATATAACAATTTTTAAAAGTGCAAAACTCGATTTTCAAGGTTTTCTTGAGTTTCTTCTGGTGAAACTCAACAAGTGCACACCTCTGAATGTATTAGCAAAACTTGAATTTTTGCAGCATGACATTACTTTGATTTGTTTTAGGTTTCGTGTTGTGCAACTAACATTTGTAAATTCAGGCTCAGATTTGTTGTCTTCATTGGTTTCCACTGAGAAATGCAGCTTTGGTATCACAGATTTAGTAAATATCTAGCAGCCTATGAATTCCAGTGGTGTTCCTATTAGCCATGCCTGAAGTAAGCAAATTATATGCAGCAATAATCAGCAACTGTTTCCATATGGCTGGATCGTTCATATTTTGAGACTGATGCAGAAACCTGCTCTCCTATTTGTGACGTTGTCCTTCAAATCTTCCTAATAGTGTATAGAAAAAGAGGTTACAACATGGACAAGGAGCAGGTTGGGTACTGAAGAGACATTTTCTGGTATTGGGTTTGCAACTTCACCTAACTGGAGCATAAAAATTTATATACATTCCACTGCATAAGGAAACTCTGTAAAGTTGTTGAGGGTGTATTTATTGTCTGTATGAGAAATAAGGCAGAAGTCATATTGATAGCTGACTTTCAAAACAGACTAGATTGCTTCTAGAGGCAACGATCACTAATGATGCAGTTTTTCTGCTGCTAAGTGTACGACTCTGAAAACATTATGTGTTAGTTAAATTGCAAATTGTTACATGTAATTAAGACTGAAACATTATTTATTTATTTATTTATTTATTTATTTATTTATAATTTACTTCCAATTTATACCCCGCCTTGCCGGTACAAACTGGCTCAAGGCAGCTTACACAAGTTAAAATACAATAAGATCAATAAATGCCATAAAATTCATAATAAAACAATTCCATAAAGTGCTAGTACAAACAGTGCAAACAGATGGCGGCGGTTTCCTATACATGATCCAGTAAGAAAAGACCATCCAACGTTATAACAGGCCTGTGGCATGTTCAACTTACGATGGTACATCTTATCTTAAGGTTGTCAACGGAAAGCACAGCTGATAAAAGTACACATTTGTCATTGCATAACCACATATATAATTCTGGTCACCAACATCCGTTTACAAAAAAACCCCTCATTGTTTCAGTTTTGAGGTAATAAATAGATAAAACATGTCTTCTAAATTTCATTGTCTCTGTAGAGTTCTGCTCTTTTCTATGACCATTTGAGTAAAAACTCCCTTCAGGACATAATTGTATATGAGATGTTATGGTCCTTCTATAATGGAAGGATGGCAAGTTACCGGAGCCTGAACAGTATTCTAAACCATTTTCTCCTCAGGATAAGCATTTTATTTTTAGTGTGATATTTTTCATATTCATCCACGTGTTTCAGATTTATGCAAATCTGAAAAAGATAATGTTGAGAAGCGTCACTTGAGGAAATAGTCACCTGAGATTATGTCAACAGCATCTCTCTGCTATTTGGCATTGTGGCTTGTTTTTCTCAGTCATGAGGTCATTTAGATCTGATGAAATCCTTCAGAGGGTAATGTAAGACTAAATGTTGCCCTTTTCAAAATAGATCCTTACAATAAATGAGGATGGATCACTGGGTCTGAAAACTACCAAATCTCACATTTGTGACCATTGCAACGCTGCCTTTAGAACCAACTACCATTTACAGAGGCATGTCTTCATTCATACAGGTACTGCTTGAATTCATGTTGTCTTTTCTGTTACCTGAAGAACGACTGAGTCTTAAACAATGCACTGAGCAATGGATATTAATGTATATTTTATATTCCAAAGTGCAGGAAACCTGGCATCTTATCTTAAGTATTCCATGCACCAAAGTGTCAAAAATACCAGGAAAGAAGTAATGTTACAATTAATTTCAGAATCACTTTCTGTACACAGTATGCTCACAAATAGCACAGTTTCTAGTGTTTCCTTGTTTATCAGATAGGCTCTTTATTCTTATTTGGCCAATGAGAGTCTGGATAACTGGAAGAGATGTTTAATAGTATACTAAATGTTATGTCATATTCCAGCATTTTGCAATGCTGATTTTCTTCTGAGTGTTATTTTTCTGTCAGCATTACAGGCTCACAGGATTTGTAGTATTTACCATTTTTAGGTAAGCTTTTCTGTGCTAAAATAGTTTGGAATCCACTCACATGCTGGATTGCAATAAGCAACTGTCTTATTCCTCAACAGTATTTGTTAGAAACAAATGTTTTTAGCTTTTAACTTACAGATGTGGAATTATATTGTTTAAGGTGAAAAACCATTTCAGTGCAGTCAATGCGACATGCGTTTCATACAGAAGTACCTGCTACAGAGACATGAGAAGATTCATACTGGTGAGTATAGCTCCTTGAGTATCTTTACTGGTGTGCATAAACAACTTTTCCTAAACACAACCAAGTAGTAGGAGATGAATATGCAGCTTTTATTTTGATGTATGCAGTGCAGACCTCCTGTCAAAGAGAAACTTAGACTTCTGTGTACTGCGGCTTTGCTTCTCTTTCCATCTCTCTCTTTCTTTTGCTTTTTTGTTGCTGGGTTACTGTTAACTGAAATGTGCAAAGCTTCTAAGATAATATATTTTCTATTGGATAAATAGTTAGAAGAACATTTTCAGAACTACAATGGCCAAAATGCCTAACCCCCTAGGTATTGTTTTGCATCCCACTTTAAAAATCACTTCCAGAAAATTATACTAGAGAGGTTGAGCAAGACAAATAGAAGAAATGTTAAAGCAAAAATAGTTCCTTTGTATTGGTTTATTTTAAAATTCTCCTTTTGCAAAACCACATTCTATAAACAGGCTTGGCTTCAATGGGTTTTTGGCATTTTGGTGCATGGCCTTTCATTACCACTGTAAATATTTACAACTACAACCTTTTGAGCTGGATGCCAATTTTCAGCCTCCTTTTCAGAAAAACAGAGTTTGCAAATGCTGTGTGTTGCTTGGTGAAAACTTTCATATCTGCTAATTACTAATGGTTAGTACTTTGTGTGTGTATGTGAACCACAAGAAAGCAAAATTACAATATGTCTTCACAGCAATGCATAGTAATTTATAGTCACAATTATTTGGTACCCACATAATATTTATGTCTTTTCTTACTATTGCACTGGTTTGGGGCAGTGTTTGGACTCACTTTGGTAATACCAGACTCCTGCATTCCTTCAGAGCCATGCTTTCCTCTTTAAGTCCGGATTTCTTTCTGCTGCATATAAATGTTGGGTCTTTTTTACAAGTGATACTAATATATTTTTCACTTCGTGAATTGCATCTCAAGTGAGATAACATTTGACATAGAAACAGTTATTTTCCAGTGCATTAAGAACACTCAGAGGTTTGGTGTGTTCTTGGTTAAAACGTGTTCTTAATGTCATTTGAGGAAAAATACCTTAAATGTACTCAGATTAATTAAATAAATTTCTTTAAAAATGGCATACACTGATTTATTTTGTTGTTTTCTGATGATGGTGCATAAAGGGGGAAAAGAAATCCATGTGGTAAAATCAGTATTTTAAAGAGAGACGTTAGGAATAATGATATTGAAAAAATAAGCTTTGCTGTGACCTTAAAAGGACAGCAAAAGGTTAGAAGGCTTTTTTTTTAAAAAAAAAGAAAGATAAAATTTTCATACTCTGCTGGCCAAACTGTGTGCTATTTAGTGTTCTGTGTGATTTACCTCAATTTTCTAGTCAAAAGTAACCACTGGAGAATGCAGTCAGAAGTAGAAAAAAGGCACAGGCATAATGGCAATATTGCATGGCAGGATCCCTGCACTACTGTGTTTATAGCATGTACCATCATCAATCACAGCTGGCTCCATCCACCATATTGTATGTTTTTCGTTCTGTATTTGCTGCTAAAAACAGGGCTGATCCTGCCCAGCAGGTGGATTAGGCAACAGTCAATGAATTTCCCATACCAAACTAGAAACACAGAAGTGTTTGTTACTGGAGTATAGAAATAGAAATACTAGTTTCCACACTGTGCATCCAAGCACTGCTCCAGACCTCAAACCTGACTCTCATTGGTGTTAGCCAAGTCAGTAGGTGTGGACATTGGTACCTTCTCCGAAGGAACTATATGTCCTTTTTTGTTCGTAAGCCACAATGCAGCAGAAAGCTTTTGTAGCACACCACCTACTTAAGTAGCTAGTCTATGCCCATGGAAGAATGTGGGGGAGGGGGAGAGTTTCTTGACTCCCTTCCTAGGTCCCTGCCACACGAGGGGAAAAAAGGATGGGCAAAGTGCAGCTTTTAAAAGCCGCACCAAAATAGGCACGCGGTGGTGGGATCATACAGATCCCGTGAGCCGCCGTGCAATTGCTCCCCAGCACGATCAGATGCCGGGGAGACCAGGAAGGAAGCCACAGGAGGCTGCCGAACTGCGCATGTCTGAGCATGCGCAGTTCGGCCAGGAGCCAGGGATGCGCCGGCGGAAGAACGCGCCGGCGATCCCACGGCCGGCTTTGATGCGGCCGTTCAGAAAGAACCACCTCGGTAGGTGGTTCTTTTTTGCTGCGGATTATCGTCAGAAGAGCCGGATCGGGGATGGGCGCGCAACTCTTCCCAGATGTTGCGGTGGGATCGCGCCCGTTTGCTCCGCCCCCGATCCGTCCCTCTCCCTGCCCAAATCCTCTCGTGTGACCGGGGCCCTATTCTATTAATTATTATGCTCAAAATTGCCCCTCAGGCTGTGAAAACGTATCTTTTATACTCCAGGGAAAAACTTATCTTTTATCACTCCAGGGAAAAGCAGCTGGGATGGGAAATTTGAGAAGAAAAACGGCCAGCAGGCAACTAGGGTCCTATACTTCTTCCCCATCCTATTTCCTCTTGGTTGCAGCTGTTAGTGACTACATTTCTTTAGAGCAACAAGAACTTACTGGGAAACTAACATGTAGTTTGGCTCTGTTTCAAACAGGGTCCCCAGAGAATTTTAAACTAACCACATTGCTTACATGGAAGCAGCATTTTATCCTATTCCCTGCTTTCCAGCAGTTTCGTATATATCAGCAGTGTTCTCTGTGAATGGCGGACAGGTTATATCAGAGGTTGTCTCATTTTAATACGTTAAGTAACTACAAATCCCAATGTAGTAATTGTGTTTCTTTGAGCCTGTTCAGTTTTTAGATTCTCAGGAGAACTCTCATTTTAGAAATATGCTGAGGCTTGAACTTTTGTAATTCTTCAAGGAGTAGGATTTGCATAATAATGGTGTGGTAACCAAGGCTGCCTGTCTAGACTTAGAAAACAGGTGAGATAATGGGAAAGTTGTATTCTCAGTTCATCTTTGAGATCATGATATTAAGAGATATGCAGAACATTGCTCTCTTCCTCACTGTAGAAATTTAGATGGCAAACCTCTTGGGGCAAGGATTTAGATTTTGAGGGTGGTCAGCAAGGGACCATGGGAATTGTATGGTTTTAAAATGGACTTTGGTATAGTTGTCCCTTTTCTTTGTATTTTATCTGATTTATGCTTTAAAACGTGTATGTGTGCTTTACAATGGTGCTGAAATGTTGTAGTTATTACTACCAACTGATAAGCAATATAATTTCATTAAACAAAATAAAAATGTGAGCATTCTGTTATATCTCGTAACCTGGAGTATTGCTGTGGGAGTTACATTACCCAGTAGTTATACAGTCTTTTTGTACAGAATCAGAAGAATTTACAGAGTGTACCTATAGATAGTGAATGCGTCAGTGTTGATCCATCTAACTGGGTTATTTCCCCAGACACAACCATTGTGGGATTTGAGGGTTGTTAGGGAACAGTGTACTACTAGATAAGGATATTCGTCTTGGGTACAAAAGCTCTCCTGAAAGAATGCAGATTTCCTTGTTAATCCAGTCTGGTTCTTGCAGCTGCTTATATGCCTTGAATTTGCTAGGGTTGTGTTTACTTATTCTGCTTTGAGTCCTGGAAATCTATACCCTCTGAACACTAGTAATCAGAAAAACCACCAAGTATAGCAAGTTTAAGAACAGTAACTGGCTTGATTCATAGTAATGACAAATACTAAGCTAAGTATTGCCTGTTGCAGGACTGGGAATATAACTTTATTTATTTATTTATTTATTATAAGAGTTATACCCTGCCCTCCCGGCCAAAGCCGGCTCAGGGCGGCTTACAAAGGAATAAAAACAATGAACAGACAGTTTAAATGATCCTAAAACCATATTAAACAATCCAATATTAAAAGTTGCTAACATTATAATGCTAATAATTATCAAATTATTCACTGAAGTAAAAGATGGCGGCCAACCTTCAGTACTCTATCCTAGCGGTCAGCCCATAGATCTGATCTTTATTCAGCTAGCACAGGCTGTTCCGATGTCTTCAGGAAGCAGGGTTCTTTGTTGGGGGCGGCTCCTAATTGAAAGCCTGGTGGGAGAACTCCATCTTGCAGACCCTGTGGAACTGCATAAGGTCCGCAGGGCTCTGATCTCTTCCGGGAGCTCATTCCACCAGAGAGGAGCCGCCACCGAGAAAGCCCTGGCCCTGGTTATAGTCAGCCTGGCATCCTTGGGTCCGGGGAGGGGTCAGTCGGTTTTGGGACCCTGATCGCAGTGCTCTCTGGGGAACATGTGGGGAAAGGTATGTAGGTCCCTGATCATGAAGGGCTTTAAATGTATTCATTTATTTAAACATTTCCTCTTTGTTCAAGGCAGCTTACAATGACAGTTAAAACATCCATAGCTAAAAAGAAAGATAAAATAGCAAACCCAAAGTCCCTGCCCCCTTAAAAGATGCTTGCCAGTCCTGACCTTGTCACATCTCGGAAGCTAAGCAGGGCCGACCCTGGCAAGTATTTGGATGGGAGACCTCCAGAGAATCCCAGGGCTGAGCGGCCAGAGGCAGGCTATCAAGCCACTTCTCTGAATGTCCTCTGTGCCCCAGTAGGAGTTGCCAGAGTCGCCATGACTTCTAGGCATGGGCACATAGACTCACACACACAGAGGGCTTTTTTTGTAAAAGAAGCCCAGCAGGAACTCATTAGTATAACAGGCCACACCCACCAGCACAAACTTATTAGCATATTAGGTCACACCCCCATGCCTTCCCTTGGCCGGGCCCCCGGCGGGCGGAGGGCGCCAAAAAAAAGCCAGCCCTTGGACAGACTGAGGAAGGCATGGGGATCCTTCCAGGCCCCCCCTGGCCAGCCCGCCTCAGAGTCACTGGGGGGGTCGCTCTCCAGGCCTTCCCTTTGTAGCCACGCACTTAGAGGTTTTGGCTGTAGTGGACGTGGCCAACTCTGAAGCCGTTCCTGTGCGTTCCTGCCCAAAAATAGCCCTGCACACACACATGCACAAAGTACAACCCCCCCCC